GCCACCAGGGTAAGATCCTACAGAGACTCGGGGGGGGGGGGGGCGGTTTACCAGTACCAGCCCCAGCGTTCTGGAGTCAAGAACGAGGTGTGACCGGGATCGATCCTGCATTGGTTGGGGGTGGGTCAGCTGAGACCCCACAGATCCTGCCACCCCCAGGCCCTTTGCTACCCCCGAGGACCGGGACCCTACTCACTGTGTTGAGCTGCAGCCGCAGCCAGAAGGGCCCAGGCAGCCACCAAGTACCAGCTCGTCCGCATCTCCCAGCCCGTCCTTCACACCCGCCTGCGCGCTCCTGGACCCCCTCGACGGCCGAGAGGCAAAGCATCCCAGCCGCCCTGTATAAGAAGGCACCCTCATTTGCATAGCCCCGCCCCCTTCCTGGCACAACCTCAAGCAAATCTCATCCCCCCCCAGCAGTGGGGCGGGTGGGTGAGAACCAGTCACAAGTTGGTGTTTCTAGCACAATGGGGCCTCACTAGTTTTGCCTCCCAGACAGAGCCTGGAATTTCGCGGGGAGAAGGACAGACACGGGTTTCCGCTCTGAGAAGAAAGCGTCTCTAATGATCACAGAACTACAGGAGGGAAGAGTAACCCGTGATGCAACTTCACTCCAGGGTCTTGGGGTGACATGACAAGTCACCCCAACGCTGAGCAAGGCAGACTCCACTTCGCTCGGGACAGCCAGCTGCTTCTATCCCCCCTCTCCCCGATACAGGAGCGAGGAGGCGGGCAGCACCTTGAAAACTGACCAACGCAAACGTAAAACACACACCCACCGAATTAGCAGGTGGAACTCACTGCTACAGGATACTGAAGCCAAGCACTTGCCTTCCAGCGGTAGGTCCTATAACACTAGTGACTTAGACCTGGCCGACAGACAGAGCTTTAAGGTGTGATTTAAAGCCAGTCTAATAAAACCGGTGCAACTTTATCTGTGGACACTCTTAGAAAATGGCTTTAAACCCAGCTCATAGTGGTTTAGTGTGTGTCCGTGGTTGTAGATGCAAGCTAAACCAATAGACCCAGTTGTCAATCGCTAGACGAGGGTGCATACGGGGGGGGGTTGGTGTCACTAAATCCATTCTCAAACCAATTGACGTTAAACCAGCGCGACTTCTGAGTGGAGTGCTCAGTTCGCTTGTGAACGTAAAGGAAAGTCACGTCTGATCACCCCGGTCCATGGGGTGAGCTCTAGGCAAAGAGAGGGAAACCAGAACTGGCAGTTAGCAGAACAAGGGCAGGTAATTTGAGGGACCCCGATTTACTAATTCGGTTCAGAACTGACCCCGAATAGAACTATTGGTGTGACTTGTTACACTGCAGTTGCAATGTCACTTTGCGTGGCAATCAACCTTCCCCTGGCCCTGTTTGCACCCAACCATCACAGCCTGGTGAGAGCCGGAAACTGACCAACGTGAAACTGACTGGCCTGTTTTCCTCCCACGCAGAGCAGCAGCAGCAGGGAGCTGGGGGTGGCTAGCGGCCCCAAAGGAGGAGTTTGGGACTAGGGAGTGGAATCAAGCTGCTGTGGGATTTTCAGTGGGTCCCTGAAGTGAGGCAAAGGAGAGAGCTGCATCTGGGGGACTGGGCAGCGGTGCTGTAGCCCAGGTGTTTAATAGAATCATAGACTAGCAGGGTGGGAAGGGACCTCAGGAGGTATCTAGTCCAACCCCCTGCTCAGAGCAGGACCAACCCCAACTAAATCATCCCAGCCAGGGCTTTGTCAAGCCGGGCCTTAAACACCTCTAAGGAAGGTTGTCTGTACAGGAAGCTGTGGTCTGCTCCGATCTCCATTCAAGGGAACAGGAACTTTGTACCTGTTGTAAGCAAACAAGTCACACTACGGAAATACCTGACGGCATCACCCATGTCTGCTCCAGGCAGGAAACTGACCCGGAAGGCCCCAAAATCCACTCAGCAAAAGGGGCATCAGTACAAATGTCAAATCCTGTTCTGAACCCTGGTACGCTCTCGGCCTTGACAAGACCTTGTAGCAGTGAGTTCCGCACGTTAACTGTGTGCTGTGCAAAAGGCATTAGTAACACAGGGGAGGGAATTTTTTGAAATGTATCATTTTTAATCCGTCTGTGTCCCTTTAATAAAAGGAACAGATTGGGAGGGATAATTCACAGCAGTTATTGCCTCAGCCAGGTGTCAACAAAATCAACTGGACTATCACCTGATTAAGCAGTCGTTCTTTGGCAGGAAGAAGGATGTGAGCAAGAAATTTACATCTTGGCAAAAGACCAGACTTGCTGTCACCTGAACCCCAGTTGGAGAGGATTCTCAAAGAGGAGGAAAAGATATAAAAATGAGGAACAGAGGCCCCAAATCTCCTCTCTCCCCATATCTCTATTCATGGCTTCAACGACATTTGAAAGACAAAGGAAGCATCAGTGACCTGGAGAGGGGTCCTGGCTGTGAGCATCAGGTGAGAGAAATCCATTTGCTTTAAGTTCACGTCGCTCGTTACGTTAGGTATTAGTTTGCATTTTACCTTTTATTTCTTTGTAACCAATACTGACTTTTATGCCTCGTTCCTTGTAATCACTTAAAATCTACCTTTCTGTAGTTAATAAACGTGTTATATTGTTTATCTAAGTCAGTGTGTTTGGACTGAAGTGTATGGGAACCTCCATTTAAGATAACAGGGTGTGTGTGTAGCATTTTCTTTTCATGTTATGATGGACTGTCTATGTGTTTGTGCTGCACGGAAAGAGAGAGCTGGGGACAAGTCTGGGACTGGCAGTTTGCTGGTGTCACTCTGTAATATAATCCAGGAGTAGCTGACTAGAAGCACTCACGTATTCAGCTGGGAGTGATTCTCCATGCTAGAGGCTGTGTGAACGGACCAGGAGTGGTTGTTCTCACAGCGAAGCAGTGTAAAAGCACTCCAGATTCTAAAGTTGAGGGGACACAGCTGTCCATCAGTCAGATTGTACTGTGGGGAATGTCACAGCCCCCTTCGCAGAACGACATCATGTTTAATATTTGGAAGAACTCAGGTCACAGTCCATTAGCTCATTGGTCACTTATTCGTGTAGCAGAGATCCGGTTTGGCCAGATTCAAAGAGAATGGATTTTGTTTATTCTAAGCAGCAGCCAGCTTGTGGGTGGAGTAGGGTCTAGTGGTTAGAGCACAGGCTTGTGCATCAGGACTCCTAGGTTCTATTCCCACCTTTGAGAGCGAGGTCTCATGGTTAGAGCAGATGGCCTGTCAGTCTAAGCCCATTTTACCACTATGTGACAGGAGGCAAATCGCTTCTCTTCTGCGCCTCAGTCTTTCCACCTTAAAATGGGTCTATTTATGATGTGTCTTGCAGTAGTGCCCGGGGTGCAATCATGGACGGTTGCGCTAGGTGTGGTACATACCCACTGCAGAAAAACCAGCCTGTCCCTGGAGAGCTTACATCCACCTCTTAGGAAGCTTGTGAAGCTCAAGTCATGAATATTGGGAAAGTATTTTGAGATCTTCAGAGACGAGCCTCAGGGAAGCCCAAAGCAGAGTGAGTTTTTATCTGCACGAATGTAATGGCGAAAGTGAGGCGCACAGCGAGGAAGGGACTGGCCCACGGCACCCAGAGTATCAGTCCTGTCCCCTCTGCTACCGATTTGTGGCTCCAAAATGAGACGTCGCTGACAGTCGACGGTACAGATCCGACAGGCTTTGGCCAGCAATGAAATCGTTCCCCATGGCCATCTGTGACATGACTCTGACACACGAGCACTGTGGAGCCTTTGTCCCCCGCCGGTGGAAGACTGTCCCAAAGCACGTCCCCGGGAGATGTCAGAGTCTGTATGTACCTGGCTTTCAGACCAGACCAGCCGACGCTATCCGAGACACACACAGAATGGCTGGAGCCGGATCCCTTCGGGAAGGAGACCCCCGGGCTCCGGGAAATGAGAGAGCGCGGAAAGGAAGGCGCCAATCCACACAATACACCTGCACCGCAACAGCCCCCTGGGTCCCTGTTCACAAGCTGAGGCCTGATGGGCAGCGAGCAAAGCGCATGGCCGCCCTGTCTCCCAGCCAAGCCGCACGGGAGCTCGTCCCCCGAAATGGCCAGGCGCAGAACCAGACCAGTTCAGCAGGAACTCCGCCGCCTTCCACTGCCAGCTCTTTTGTCTGCCGGATGAAAGAGCCCTGAGCAGGTGCTTCCAGGCCGTGCTCAAGTCACCGGTTGGACCTTGTCATTGATCAGCCGCCCAGATTAGTTGTGCTGCCTCAGCTCAGAATGGCCAGGGCTGGGCGCCGCTCACGAATCCCCTGGGGGCGAGGGGGGCGCGCGTTTGGCTGGCTGCTTTTGGCTGCTAGGTCTGAAATCCCCCGTGCGGAGGGGGCCTAAGGCCCAGACCCTCAAAGGAAGTTTGGTGCCTCAGTACTTTGCAGGAGCTGGGCCTTAGTGGTTTAGTTTTTGGAACGGAAGCTGAAAGCTGGTTCTGAGCGAGGGCCTCAGGGCTTCCGAGGCGCCGGACAAACGGGGGCACTTACCACCCATCGATCATAATCCTAACCCTGGGAATCCCCCTTCATATTCTGCCAGGCGGAGCCCAGGCAGGGCTGGGGGGTCCCGCATGCGGGGTGGGGGGAAGGGAGGGGAGCAGCTCCCTGGGGATAGGGGGAGCACCTGGAGGGAGGGGAGTCTCCTTAGGGAGGGGGGCAAGGGATCCCGGGGGGGGGGAATCCCCCCAATAATAAACACAGCTGGGGAGCAGCCACTGGACTGGCGTGGGGTCACCTGGGGCTCCCCCCGCTGATACCCAGCCAGGGGGTCACCTAGGATTTAAGCGCAGCTCTGGGTCTGGCCCACCCCGTAACCCCACGGGGGGGGGGGGGGTGCTTTCCCCGCTCCCGTCCCCTACCGGGGCGCCCCCGCCCCCCCCCCCCCCCCCCCCCCCCCCAGGGGCCGCGATCCCGGGCCCGATCCCTGGCCCCCTCCCCGGGGCGGGCCGGCTCCGGGACCAGCCCCTCCCGCCCGGCCCCGGCCCCGGCCGCCGCCCGCCCGCGCCCCATGGAGAACTTCCAGAAGGTGGAGAAGATCGGCGAGGGCACCTACGGGGTTGTGTACAAGGCCAGGAACAAAGTCACCGGCGAGGTGGTGGCGCTGAAGAAAATCCGCCTGGATACGTGAGTTCCCCCCCCGCCCCCCGGGGGAGTCCCAGGGAACCCCCCCTCTCCGGCCCGAGGTTGGGGGGGAGCGGGGGAGTGGGGCACAAGGAGCTGGCCCCTCCCTGGGCCGGGCGCCTCCTGCAGGAGCCCACCCCCGGGGGCGAAGCCCACCCCTTGGGGGTGCAGATGTGGCAGAGAAGGGGTCCGGGGCGGGGCTGGCATCCGGGGCGCCAGTTCCCTGCCTCTGGGGTGCCCGGGGAGCGGCTGGGCCGGCTGTCACCGGGGCCTTGGCATGAATTCCCTTGGCGAGGTGCATCCGAGGTGGGCAGAGCCGGACTGTCGAGCTGGTGGCCGGGGGTGGGCAGGGCGCTGCTAGAAGCCAGGATAACCCTTGGGTTTGGGGTGCTGGGAGGGGGCACCCGGGTCCCTCTCTCCAGGGGGGCGCTGGATGTTTCTGGGCACTTCCCAGCTCCCGCTGGGGTCAATCAGCAGCGCTGCACCAAGCTCAGTAAGGCTGGGGCCAGTCAGCCCTTCGCATGCCTGGTGCTGGCGGGGGGAATGACACCCCTCAGCCTTTCCTGCAGCCCCATTTCTGGTGGGGGTGTCTTCTGCCCCATACGCTTCCTTAACGCCCTGACAGAGGTCATCCTACGGAGCGGAGACTAGTCAGTCACTCGCTCCAGCTTTAGGCCTTGCCTGGCCTTCGCTGAAACAGCCATTCTTAAATTGTCCGGCTGCTGTCAGCAGGTCCTCGAAGAAATTCTCTTCCCAGGTGCAGTGAATGAATATCCCGGCTGGCTTTGCCTCTCAGCCGCCCGGGTGGGTCATGGCACCCGCGCCGGCTTTGGGGGTCCCGTCTCAGTCACTGTTGCTCTTAATGGGGGGGCAGGTAAAGTCGGTACCACATGGTGGGTCTCGGGGCCAGTGGACAGCTGCCCACACGTCGAGTAGGGGGCCGGAGGTTGAATTAAGGCTGCTCCGGCGTCTGTGCCCGGTTCTGGTGCCGCAATCCAAGGGGGATGTGGATCCGCTGGAGAGGCTCAGAGAAGAGCCAGGAGACTGATGGAAGGATTTGTAGTGACAGGCTCCGGGAGCTCAGTCTATTTAGCTGAGCAGAGAGAGGGGGAAGGGGTGACTTGAGGCCAGTGCTAATGGGCTCCTCAGTCTCGCAGACAAAGGTCTAACACGGGGGTCTCACACTCGCGGCCCATCTGCGGCCCGCGAACCTCCCCAGTGGCCCACGGGGCTCCAGCAGTTTTGGGGCCAGGTCTCTCCCTTGGCCCCACCTGCTGGCCCTGGGCGCTCCCTGTCTGCGTGGCTGCCGGCCCCGCCCTGTGGACGCGGGGCAGGGCTGTGCCTCCGCGCGCTGTCCCCGCCCCGAGCGCTCCTGCGGCCAATGGGAAGCTCCAGGGGTGGTGCCTGGGGGTCCCCCGCCCCGCCTTGGAGCCCCAGGTAAGCACCACACCCCCTACCCACCTCACAGAGCCTGTACCCCCACCCCCAAACTTCCTCCCAGAGCCTGCAACCCCACCCCCTTCTCCTGCACCCCTGCCCCAGCCCAGAGCCTGCACCCAAACTCCCTCCCAGAGCCCAACCTCTCACCCCTTCTGCACCCAAACTCCCTTCCAGAGCCTGCACCCCAATCTCCTCCCCCACCCAAACTCCCTCCCAGAGCCTTAGGCAGGTGGGGGGCGGGTTCTGGGCAGCATGAGTGACATTATTGGCCCGCTGGGAGGATCGGAGGACTGGCACTGGTCGAGTGTGAGACCCCTGGTCTAACAGGTCCAGTGGCAGGAAGTTGAAGTGAGACAATTTCTGACTGGAGATAAGGCGCAAAGCTGTAAGGACGTGGGTCACTAACCACTGGGCCGTAGTGGATTCTCCATCACTGGCCATTTTTAAACCGAGGTTGGACGTTTTTCTCCAAGCTCTGCTCTAGCTCAGCTGGGAGGTGCCGGGCCTGCGTGACGCGGGCCAGGCCAGGTGATCTCAATGGCCCTATGGAGCCTGTGATTCACAAAACTCCCTCCGGTCTGAATGGGCTGTGGAGAGTGTTCCCAGCCCCTGGTCGCTCCTGTCTGCCTGTGCTGGGCAGGTGGGTGCCACTCGCTGGTCATGAGTTTCTGGGGGGAAATGTCCCCGGTCTGGCCCTGCCCCAGTGTACCTAGAGCTGCTCGGTTGTATTTTGCAGTTGGTGCCCGTGTCCGGCAGCTGGTGCTCTGGGTCTTGGCGCCCAGGAAAGAGGCCGTTACCCCGGGAGGCAGGGCCGGCTCCAGGCACCAGCCTGGCAAGCAGGTGCTTGGGGCGGCCACTTCGGAGAGGGGCGGCACTTCCAGCTGTTCGGCGGCAATTTGGCAGCCGGTCCCTCACTCCTGCTGGGAGCGAAGGATTTCCCGCCGAATTGCCGCCGCAGATCGCGATCGCAGCTTTTTTTTTTTTTTTTTTTTTTTT